TGTGTTGCGGCTTCCCGCCTCCCCTCAGCTCTCCGAACAGCGGGATTTCGCAATGGCAGCTTGGGAAACAGACCCAGCGCTCCGTTTAGAAGCAATGTGTATCAGCCGACTGAGATGGCCGTTGTGCTCAATGGAGGGACCGTAAGTATCAAGAGGTGATGTTTTGGCCAGAAGCCTAAAGAGCAGTCAGTGTTGGGGGGCAGTTTCACCGGGACACACCGCTCTGTGGGGGCTGCTTACGGGCCCTGCAAAAACACTGGCTCAAGTTGACGCCCCTTGCGGCTAGAATGCATGCAATGCTTCCATTGTTCTTTCCCTCTCTATCCCCTTTCTCCACGCACGGAAGACCCACCTATACTTAGTTAACTTAGTCTGTGGATTCATTTGAAAACATCCCTGTTTCTTGGGGCTCTTGTACCCAATGAATTATCTGGCTTTCATTATGCACAAGGTACCTCTCCCTCCCTGGGAGGTGACTTTTAGGAAAAGCCCAGAGTTGTGAAACCCTGACAGATTTTGCTGACATCCAACCTAGTGTAACCAACCCCCCCCCCCCCCCCCCCCCCCCCCCTGCCGCCTGCTGCAGGCCCCTGTCTCTGCCCCAGCTGGGCACCGGATTCCCCCACCTCTACTCCTTAAAAGATGTCTTCAGAAATTGGAGTGATTATCATTTCTATCCTGTGAGCACAAAAATAGGTTTTACTATCTGATGCCAAACAGACCTTCAGCAGAATTGTCATTGTTTACATCTTGCCTCCGTAGAATTACATCATTTTGTTTCTCCAGCAATCCAAAGACACACTGTCATTCCCACATTTAATTTCCAAACATAGCTACATGCTTCTTTCAGAAACAATGCATACCAGTTTACACATGTAAATTGGACTTCCATTCTTTATATCATGTGCCAATTCCATAACTCAAACTGAGCTTTTTTTTTTTTTCCTTTTTTTTTTTTTTAAACGTAAGTCAGGGATGGTCTTTGATCTCTGGAGGGAATTCGGGTTTTCCTGGCCTTTTGAATGGTATGCGAAGCATTGGTTTGCACTGGTTTGGAACAGGCTCAAAGACAAATAGACTCACAGATTTGCTTTCTGAAAACCCCTTGCCATCCACTGGGCTGTTTTATTATTGGGTGCCAAGAAAAGCCTGACTCAAAAGCATTTGGCCTGTGTGTTTTAATAAATATGGTTAGAAAATGGCCCCATCAGTCACTCTTAAGCCCTCCTGGTCTCTTCAAGACCAGTGTCTATAAATACACCCCGGACTTAGAAAGTGAAGGGGGTTTCTGGGTAAGGAAACATCCATTAGGGGTGCGTGATTATAGAAAAAAGGACATGACTTCCCAAGAACAGCGCAATATAACACACAGTGCTTGCTGCTTTTCTTGGGAATTACTCAGCCCATTAGGAGAAAGCAAGGGGACTTCTCTTTGGCACATTGTTAACACATTGGTTTTTGATGTTGACTTTGCAAAGCACAGAGTTCTTAGCTGTGTTATCCTTGTTTCCAGATCCCAACTGCTCCGCCAAGTTACACTGGAAGACACCTCTGGTGAAAGACTTAAGTTCCAGAGAATAAGAATCTCTCTTACCGATTTTATTCCCTGGCTGTGTCTTTCTTGAGGGAGAAATCAGTAACAGTAGCCAAACAAGGCTGCCTCACAGCCAGGAGATCTAGAAATCCTGCACAAGGGGATTTCGTGTAAATGTGAACACTGCTGAACTGAAAAGCTAACACTGACTGCCCTCTCGCCCCCTGCCACACACACACACAAACACGTAATACCAAACCAACCTCAATCCCTGCAAACTAAAGCAAAGCTAATTGCAAATAGTATTAGGCTCACTCGAAAATGTGGCTGGGCAGACTGTTTCATCCTCTGGGGGTAGAACAGAACCAGATTCACAGCCAGTGGGCCAGGCTGGTGTGGGTTGGTTGTGGAGGTCCCCCACACCATTGCCCTCCCCAGCGAGTAGACCCCAGGTGGCCTCTTGGAGATGACTGTTGCGTTGAGAGGACTAATGGGGACTGTTCCATCAGCTTGCCTGTTTGCACGTTTCAGGGGGTCAGGAGCAGTTAAGGAGTTGTGGGTGTGATTCCAAGGTGAGTCCCAACCGAATCACGGGGTGAGCTTTCCAACCAGTGGTGGTGGAGGGATCCTGGCATGTGCCAATACAGAGAAGGCTATCTGGGAATTGAAGTGACCATCACATTTAGAAAGTGGTGACCCACCACCGTGCCCTCTGTGGGCCTCCTGCTCCAGGTTAACGGCCGGAAAACAAGCCCGCCTCCCTGCTTGGTGGAGTCACAGCAGTATTCCGGCTTGGGGCAGCAGTTTCTTTTCCCCCCTCCGCCCGAGCCCTTTCCCAGGCTTTTATTCCCATGTTCATTTCAAAAACTTAGATGGACCATCAGCTTCCAGCCCCCTGGGCTGGCAGGCCAGAAGGCAGGTGCCACAGCAGATTTTCTGTGATGATGTCGCGTAGCAGGGCCTCCTCGGGGAGAGAGGACACGCTGCTGCCTAGCACGCAGCGAGTTCTCCGATCTCAAACGTTGATGGAGTGCAAGTTCCAGGGTGGGGTGGAGCACTTGAGGGGCTCTTGCTGTCTTGGAGGGTATGTGGGGCATTTTTGACTTGTTTTTCTGTAAGTTCCATGAAAATGATTCTCTTCAAAGCCCATTGTTTCTGTCATAGTTTCCATCCGTCCTAAGCAAGTCATTCCTTTGTTATTTGGCATTTCGAACATCTCGGCCATTAAAAAGCCCCATGTTCTCTGCACTGTTTGGCCAGCATAATCACTAGCAGTGATTCGAAGCAAAGAATTTTAACCTGATGGCATGAAATGTATAAGTGAGGGTGAGCCCTTTGGCATCTACGCTAATGACTCTGTTGCTTTTTCTATAAAACAACCCATAAGCCTTTAACCTTTATAAAGAAAATGAAAAAGGTTAGTGTTTGGTGGGGGGGGGGGGGGGGGGGGGGGGAACTGACCTCTTCATAAGCCAATATGTCTGAGCTGTTTTAATAAACCTGATTTTTCTCAAGGCCCTAGTCTCTGCTGTGTCCCGTCCTCGTCACAGTCCCTCCCCCCCTGCAACCTTGCAGAGCAGCGGGGTAAACAAGGCCAATTTGGCAGTCCCTATGCGGTCAACTTCGAGTTTTCCTTCCAGCCAGCGTACTTCCTTGAGTTGCCATGCATGGGGAAGAAAAAGCATGGCAGCAGAATGCCACCTGTACCTGACCTTTGGGAAACAGCCCCACCCCGGCCCACAGCATGTGCTTGCTTCTAGAGAATCAGATTCCAGTCCTCTCTCAGAGGAGCATCATTGGTGGACTGGAAACCTGGAGTACTGGGGAGGGGAGGGAGGGAAAGAAACTAGGACCTGGGGTGGGGATGGGGGCGGTTGCATGCAGTCCCAGGATTCTGAGAATACAGAAATCTCCAAACACCTCGGTCCAGTCCAGTGAAAAACGACAGCATTACACATTCTCGTGCCAGGAAATGGTTGCTTACCCCCGCTCTCTGGAGTCCTTTGGAGCTCTCTGATCCCATCAGTGATTCCGTCTGCAAGAGCCCCCCCTCCCTTGCAGAAGGGAGCAATTCACCTGAGCGTTTCCCCTCTCAGTTCTTGGTCCGGGCATAGAAGGTGAGCATGGTATAAATGGCTATAAAGGGAAAGTAATGTTTCACCAACATAAAAATGGAACCAGCTTCGAGCCACAGGAAACCTCACTTGATGAGACCTTTCTCCCCCCCTTTCTTTTTAAATCTATGATATGTTATCGTGCTTCTGGGTTTTGTCTTATTTTGGCTTTAAGGTTGAGAGTGGGCTGGATGCCCTCTCAATGGGGCGGGGGGGGAGTGAGGGCAGAGAGCAGAGAATGGGTATTTTTCTAATGACTCCACCTGAAGGGTACAAAGAGACCTCTTCGCCAAGAGACTGTGGCCACTAGCTGCCCCCACGGAGCAAAGTTTAAATACGAAATCAAATAGCACCTCTGTTTAAGATCTATTTATGTAAACAACACTTGTTGAGGGAACATAACCTGGAAGGACAGCATCTGTGATCAAAATACCTAATTGTAAGCACAAATCTTTCTGTGTCCGGTTATTAAAATCACTTTGGGACTATAATAGCCACTCTCGTCCCCCCTTTTAATAGAAAATGGTCATTCTATCCTGGATTTCTCCACTGGATATGGAGGGTGGGGAGTGAGGGAATCAGCTCAGAGAACTGACAAAGTGGGAAGTTCTGGGGATCCAGTGCTTTGAGTACAGATTGTGTCAGGGCCCACTGAACAAGTGTAAACTCGGGGTGATCTAGGTTGGCCAATGCTGAGTTAAACCCCAAACTGAAAGGGAGCGTTGTGGCTTTTATAATCCAATGATGCAATGATTATACCAGCTTACAGGAGTTCTCAGCAGGTGCTTTTTATTAATTGATAAAGAGCTAAGGCTCATTTTTGATAGATAATATATATTTATTAAATGTATTAATGTGTGTTTTATAATGTACCTTTATCCTCCCCTGGCTGACTGTTGCATACTTATTAAAAAAAATCGTTAAAGAAATTTCAAGACAATCAATGTGTACCATAAATGACTGTATATAAATATTACAAATTTAAAGGTTGTAAAGCATGGGCAGATAGGTTTTATTTTCAAAATGCTGTTCTTAACACAAAAATAAAGGCATTACTATTTACTTAAAGATGTGTGGTAGCTTGTCAAAACACTCGGTAGAACTACTAGGCTTTCTTTCGGATCTGCCTGGAGGCTAACTCTGTGGCATTGTGAATGGGGGAATCCTGGATAACAGCAAGCCCCAGAACAAATGAGGGTAATAAGTTAGCTTACCCATCAAATGAGGAACTTTTCTATAATATCCTGGGGACTTGACAACAAACCTCCTTTGTTACTGTTGTTTGGGTTTAAGTGTCTCACCTTGTTGGATCTACAGTCAGAGTTAAGAGTCAGTCTCCTTTGGAAATGATCGCAGGCAGTATGTCTTTTTTATGAAATGAGTAACTTAAAACCAGATCAACTTAAAACCCACTGCAGAGGTTTGGGACTTAAATTTAAATAGTGATTTTTGCAAAGGCAGCCCAGAGTGGGAAACTGGTAACTAAAGCATGTCAACATCTCTTGGAAGCCAGAGTTTGTTGTACATTTTAGTGGTGGCTGGTGCAGAAGAATACACCTGAAACACTGAAGAAATAATATGGATACAAGAATAAAATTTGGAGATACTGCAGAAAGTTAAGATCAGTACTGTCTTAGGATAAACGATACGCACTAAAACATGTGTGCCACAAATGCTATCTTCTGCAGAAAAGATTCTGTATTCACATGTACCAAATGTAGTCATTAAGAAAGTTAACAGAGAGGAAGCATAATGCGTACATTTTCCTCACAGAGGGTCACTGAAGCTCCGAAGGGAAAAGATCCCACCAGTGGCTAAATAAGGTGGTGGAGTCTTAGCTCAGGCCTCCTCCTCTGTCTCCATTTTGCATTTCACTGCAAAGAAATGAAAGAGAAAGTCAGGATCGATTTGCATATCTAGACAGACTTGTCATTTTGAAAACAGCAAATTTTGATGTGTAGAGTCAATGACACCAAAGCCCAATGAGCACCTGCTATGGTTCTGGCGCCACGGGAAGGACGCAGGGCCATTGTGCTCCACGGACAGAACCTGAAGTTTCAAAACCATGCAATGTTGATAGCCATTCTTTCTTCCCCCAGTTTTAATGAAAAAGAATTGACATGCACTACTGTATCAGTTGAAGGCATACAGCACGATGGTTTGATTTACGTAGATTGTGAAATGGTTACCACAATAGGTTCAGCTAACATTGATCTTCTATAGGTACAATAAAAAGAAAAGCAGAAAAAAAACCTCTTGTGATAGAATTCTTGGGATCTACTCAATGACACAGCAGTGTTAGCTATAGTCATCATGTGTGCGTTACATCCCTAGTTCTGATTTATCCTGTAACTGGAGGTTTGTATTGTCCCTGGTAACCACAAGTCTGATCTCTTTTCCTGTGAGTTTGGTTTGTTTTTTGTTTGTTTGGTTGGGCTTTTTTAGATTCCACATATAAATGAGATCATACAGTATTTGTCGTTCTCTACCTGACTTACTTCACTTAGTGTAATACCTTCAAAGTCCATCACAGCCATTCTTAATTTAGTTCAGCAGAAGGTCAAAAGGGTGCTTTGCAGGTCAGGGGAACTGAAGAAAGGAAGTTTTACTGAAGATGATGACAGATTCCAGGCTCTTGACTCAGCCCAATCTGTCACCACTCACCTTGCTCCCCCCACTCGCCCAAAATTAAAAACTCAGGGTTACACTGGGGTGAATACAAGGTCAGAAAAGAATCTTTTCACGGTCTGGAAAAGAATGTGATATGGGGGATTTCCTGCATTGGCCAAACAGGAAAGTTCACAGAACACAGGATGGCACTACTTGTCCCAGTAGGTACAAGCCCCTCCCCTGGAAAAATAGGGAAACTCAGTCCCCTGGGGGTTGGGGGTGGGGGTGGGGAAGGAGATGGAATCCTTTCAGAAAGACCCTCTCATTTTTAATAAGTCTTTGCTTCTAAATGTCCAAGTGCTTGTCCTGGACATTAGTGCCTGAAGGTTCTTCTGAACAAGGTCGTGGGCTCTGGTTACACGTGGAGAGCAGTGTCCTAGCAGAAAGGGTATTGGGGCTTGTTACCACGTAAGGCGGATGTTTTGATCCAGCCAGGCCCACGCATGGAGTGAGGTGTGGACACCATCACGTGCAACACAGTTACTTCCTGTTGGAAGTGGGGCGAACGCTTTCATCAGCCCAGGCTAGCCCAGCAGTCTTCAAACTGGAGCTACACAAAGGCTTTCTAAGGGTACTTGGTCATGGTTTATTCAAAGAAAGTCAACCTCTAAATCTGCAGCTTCCCACCGTGGACTTGCAGTTGTAGGATGTATACCAACCCCCTCTCCTACCTCTCCCCGTCCTGGCATTGCCTAGTGTGTACAAAATCCCCAGGTGTCAAACAAGGAGGCAATTTGTCCAATGGAGTCTCCTTTCTATGCTTAATAACTACCAAGAATTATAATGTATTTATTTGGCTTTGTGAACTATTAATGATCGTATTAATAACTCGAACCAGAAAAAGTATTTTTAATACTTGGAACCTGTGGTCACTGGAAAATTCAAAGAAATGTTTTCAATGTGTACATCTTTTTTGTTCTATATATATGGAAGATCTACGGGTAACCACCATGAACACCCCATGTGCATCTAGACCCTACTGATGACAATGATCCTGCATAGCCAAGGATGCTCTACACCCCTGAAGGTGCTCTCCCAGTATCCTGCTGATCCATGATGTGATCCGGATGTGAATGTTTAGCAACTGAGTGGGGATGGCAGAGTCCTGACTTGTAGTATTTGCTGATTTCCATAGTTGATTTTAAGCTACCAGCCTGACCAGGCACAGTACATGGCTGATCTAAGTCTCTACAAGTAGGTATACAGGGAAACCTCAGGAGCAAGATGGTACTCTAGGTGTGATTGGGGGGGACTAGCAACGTTTGCAACACTGGCAACCTGTTAGAAATACAAGCCGACAGCTCAACCCCAGACCTATAGAATCAGAAACAGTGGAGCCCAGCAATCTAGGTTTTTAACAAGCTCCCAGGTGATGCTGATGGATACAAGTTAAAGTTTGAACCACTGTTGGTGGTTCTCTACCCTGACTATGTCTAAGAATCATTCCCGGGCCCCTTCAGAAGCCTGTGAGTGCCTGGGTCTCACCCCAGACATTCTGATGTAGTTGGTCTGAGGCACCAGTATTTATTCAAAGTTCCCATATGTTGCTACTGTTCGCCAGGGTTGAGAAACCCAAACTGCGGTTGGAATGCCTTTAAAAAAACATGACCATAAAGATCCTGACAGCAGTTTAGAAGAATCAAGAATTCCCCTCTTTGTCTCAAAATTTAAGCAGGTTAAATGACTTCTCTAGCCTATAACTGACAGATGCTAGAGGCTACTAATAGCCACACAGAGAAGGAAGGATTGGCTTCTGTGAAGAATTCCCAGCCCTTGGATTTTCTGTAGTTTCTCAGACCTGCCTGAAGTTAGAATTCATCTGCTCACTTTTGTCCCAGTATCTTTTTTTTTAAGTTTATTTATTTATTTTGAGAGAGAGAGAGAGAGGCAAAGGGAGAGAGAGAGAACCCCAAGCAGGGTCTGCACTGTAAACACAGAGCCTGATGTGGGCCTCGAACTCACAAACCGTGAGTTTAATCAAGAGTTGGATACTTAACCAACTGGGACACCCAGGTGCCCCAGCAGTATCTTTTCTTCTTTTTCAAGTTTTTTTTTTAGAAAGAAAATGAGCAGGAGAGGGGCAGAGAGGGAAAGAGACAGGGGATTCGAAGCAGGCTCTGTGCTGATAGCAGCAAGCCTGACGCAGGGCTTGAACGCAAGAACTGGGAGATCATGACCTGGGCCGAAGGCAGACACTCAACCAAATGAGCCACCCAGCTGCCCCTACTTTTGTCCCAGTATCTTAATGAATTCCTGTCCATGCCTTGACAACCTCTCTTAGCCAGCCCACACTTTGACTTCGCCTGGGAAAAAGCCATGTTAGCTCTTTCAGATTATTACACAAAAATCTTCAGAGTAGAGAGCAGAAAGGGATGCTAGGACCACTCCTCCAAACTGAAGAATCAAAAAAATACTTTCTAGAGTTGATGGACTGGAAACAAAGGTGGACATGGAGCCTCATGATGGAACCATCTGGGGAGCTTTGAATATTGTCAATGCCCAGCCCTGCCCTAGCCAATCAGGTCAGAGTCTCTGGAGGTGGGGACTGTCCATTAGTGCAACCACATCAGAAAAGTGGCATTATCAAGTAAAACTGAGTATGCACGTTCCCTGCAATGCAGGGATTCTGCTCCTAGATCCACTGCCTGGAGAAACCCTTGCACACATGTTCTGAGTGACTGAATAAAGATGTTCATGATAGCAGAAAGCTGCAAACAACCCAAATGTCCATCAACAGCTGACTGGATAAATAAACAGTGGTCTCCGTGAATGGTGAGTGTACGGCAATGAACATGAATAAACCACGGCTACACCTGTCGGCTTGGAATAGCTTATCGATGTTGAAGGAAGGGTATAAGGCACAGTGTGATACATGTAGTGTGATTCTATTTACAGCAAATCTAAATGCTGAGGAGTGCCTATAAAGATCAGAAGAACTCTAAAGAAAGGCAAGGGAAAACTGAGAACAAACTGAGGGTTGATGGGGGGTGGGAGGGAGGGGAGGGTGGGTGATGGGTATTGAGGAGGGCACCTTTTGGGATGAGCACTGGGTGTTGTATGGAAACCAATTTGACAATAAATTTCATATATTAAAAAAAAAAAAAGCAAGAGAAGTTAAAAAAAAAAAAAGAAGAAAGGCAAGGGAACAATGAGCATAAAAGTTAGGGTGAGTGGCTTCACTGGGTTGGGGAGGAGCTTTAAAGGTGTTGACAGTATTCTATTTTCTTAACTGGGATGGTACTTACATGAGTGTCTGCTTCATAGGTATATATGTACTCTAAAGTCACTATTGTTTGTATACCCCCCATTGTATTGTATGTATACCCAAAAACAAGTAAAAAGAAATAAAGATGGTAGTATATTACTTGAAATTACAAAGTCAACTTGTAAAGGAACAGAAAAGAACAACTTAACTGTTTGGGGAGGGTACAGATGGGGTGTAAGTGAGCTAACCCCCATCTGTCGTAGCAGAAAATCAGTAGATAATGTCAAAAACCATATCTATCATATCTAAAATCATAACCGTCCAGAGAAACAGCCCAGAGTTCAAAGTTATTGCCATAGCAGAGGGTGCCACAAAGATGATGCTCATTCTGTCCTTCTGTTCATCCTGTACAGCAGTCCCCCTGCCGTGTCCTTGGGGAACACGTTCCAAGAGCTCCAGTGGATGCCCAAAGCCACGGATAAGGTGGGGGGGACTACTGTATATCTTTTTAACCGTGGGAACAATGTACAAGGATTACTTTGCTAAAAATTAAGAAACAGATTGAAGTCTCCCCCTTAGTGGTTTTCCTCCTCGTCTTGGCAGGACAGAGCCTTGCACAGGTGGGACCACAGGTAGGTAAAAGGATGGAGGTAGGGAGGAGCCCCAGGGGAAAAGCAGGTAGTGATGACTAAATAAAGGAACCTGGCTTCCATTTTAGTTTTAGAGACATCATCATGGTTGGCCTCCAACACCAATGGACAGATGCCTCCACACCCCTGCACCGTCCTTGTCCCCCTTAGCAGGCTGGTGTGCAGCCAGCTCCGGAAGGGCTAGAGAGTGGAAAATCCCAGAGAGATGCGCCAGCCCTTCAGCTTCAATTAAAGGCAGTGTGACAAGAAAGGCCCTGCATACTAATGAGAGTTGCTTATGGTTTCCTCCTCTTGGTCACCATCCTTCTTTCTTGTTCCATTTAGTGACAAGGCTGAGAACTCCAGACAGTTGGGAGAAGCTGCCCAAGGCTCGAGACGTAGGAAATTCGGGACCACGGGGTAGTTGGGATGTGGCTTCAGCATAAAGGATCATCTGGGGCAGATACCCGGGCTACTCCAGACCTTTAGAATCAGATCTCCAAGAGCCAGGCCTGGGAATCAGCATCCTCCATCTCTGTGCCTTGAGTGATCCTTTTGATGTGACAAGTTTGGGAAAGAGTACTGCATCACTCAGCCAGCACGCGGTGCCTGTCTCCTGGGGGCCCAGGTGTGAGACGGTGCTGGGAGGAGCAAACAAGACAAGGCCTGCAGAGTGCTGAGCACTGAGTCTGATCTAGAGTTAGGCACCCAGTGAGTACTACCTGTTATTATTTTCAGGGCATGCTCTTTGATCTCAAGGAGCTCACGGTCAAGAGGGGGAAACAGAAAAATAAACAGGAGCTTGTAAGAACCAAGAGATGTGCACACACTGCAGAGAGAAGTTGCTTCAATGATATGTTCATCCATCATACAGTTATGGACTCAAAACAGTACTGCATGTTGAGTTACAAAGAGGAGGCTGGTTCACAATCTCAAGTCACCAATATACTTAAGAAATCTTAAAGTTTAATTTGTTATCCAATGAGCACCCAGTTTCTAGGATTCCAGGTAAATAATAAAAGCAAACACTTCTGTGGCACAGACTGGGCCCTTCACACACAGGAAGCGATGGGGAGGTGAATGTTGTGATTTTGCCCAGTCTGACAGGCAAGGAGATAGGGGTGCACACAGGTTATAGCTTGTCCGTGGTCACACCATGGCTGTCTGGCTCCTACATTCATGCTCTTAACCCCTGCAGGGTCATGGTCTCTCGTGGGAGATGAAGATTTCTGTACTCAAAGATACCAGAACGAAGTATGCAGACAATGGTGTTCACTACCACATCATTTACCACAAAAACGGTTTGGGAACAATCTAAAGGCCCAACAATCGGGGAATGATTCAGTATCTGATTTCTTTTTAAGTTTTATTTATTTATTTTTAGAGACAGAGAGAGCAGGGGAGGGGCAGAGAGAGAGAGGGAGAGAGAGAGAATCCTAAGCAGGCTCCCTACTGTCAGTGCAGATGCAAGGCTCGATCGTACCATGAGATCATGACCTGAGCTGAAATCAAGAGGTGTGTGCTCTGGGAATGCAAGCTGGTGCAGCCACTCTGGAAAACAGTATGGAGGTCCTCAAAAAACTAAAAATAGAACTACCCTACAACCCAGCAATGGCACTAGTAGGCATTTATCCATGGGATACAGGTGTGCTGTTTCCAAGGGACACATGCACCCCCATGTTTATAGCAGCACTATCAACAATAGCCAAAGTATGGAAAGAGCCCAAATGTCCACTGATGGATGAATGGATAAAGAAGATGTGGTATATATATACAACAGAGTATTACTCGGCAATCAAAAAGAATGAAATCTTGCCATTTGCAACTACGTGGATGGAACTGGAGGGAATTATGCTAAGTGAAATTAGTCAGAGAAAGACAAAAATCATATGATTTCACTCATATGAGGACTTTACGAGACAAAACAGATGAACATAAGGGAAGGGAAACAAAAATAATATAAATACAGGGAGGGGGACAAAACAGAAGAGACTCATAAATATGGAGAACAAACTGAGGGTTATGGGAGGGGGTGTGGGCTAAGTGGGTAAGGGTCACTAAGGAATCTACTCCTGAAATCACTGTTGCACTATATGCTAACTAATTTGGATGTAAATTTTAAAAAATAAAAAAAATTAAAAATAAATAAAAAATAAAAAACTGAGCCACCCAGGCTCCCTGGTATCTGATAATTTATAAACTTGGTAAAACATACAAAACCATTAAAAATGTGATGCTTTTGCAATGTTTGAAGGAACAGGTAGAAACCTCAAGGGGAAAATACAGTGGGGCACATTTGCTATAAATTTTGATGAGGCAAATTTGAAATTGCTCAATACCAAAAGCTAACAATGTCTCCAAGGGGAACACTAAAGCTCTGTCTGTTGGTGCTGGAAGTCGACCACGATGATGTTTGTAAAGGTAAGGTGGAAACCAGGTTCTTTCATTCACCATCTCTGCCCCTTTTTTCCCTCCTATCTTTCTGTAAAAAAGTATTTTGGAAGAACAAATGACTCTTGTTTTACATCTATTCCTGATTGAGGCCTTCCACAGTACGTCCTTAAATGTGACTGCCTTTTACAAAATCCAATCATGTCCATTACCGCAACTAAGTTATGGCCCAGCATCTTGACTATGTTTAAAAACAAAAAAACAACTACATGTAAAATGATTAAGAGGAAATGGGTGAATTTTTGTTTTCCCAAATGTCTACAATACACATGTATTGCTATCCAATTGGGAAAAACTTTCTTTCTAGAAGAATTATAAGAAAATATACCAGACAGGGGCGCCCGGGTGGCTCAGTCAGTTAGGCTTCTGACTTCAGCTCAGGTCATGATTTCATGGTTTGTGAGTTCGAGCCTTGCGTCGGGCTCTGTGCTAACAGCTCAGAGCCTGGAGCCTGCTTTGGATTCTGTGTCTCCCTCTCTGTTTGCCCCTATCCTGCTCGCACTCTGTCTCTCTCTCTCTCAAAAATAAATAAACATTGAAAAAAAAAAAGAGACAGAAGAATAAGAAGGACTATCAAGAGAATGAATGCCTATATAATATTAGTGCAATCAGAGCTAAAAGATTGGGAAAGGTAGGAAGGAAAAAATTGGGGTCAAATGGCCAACAGGAAGTTAGCTGCAGGAGTCCGGGAGTTGCAACCCTCCCCAGTATGGCTAGACCCGGCACTGGGAGACCCTGAGAGATCCACCTGAAGGTGAAGTTGCCCTCATAGAGGTGACCATTCCAAAAATATTAATGAAATGGGCACTAGGAAGTTTCTGACTGGAGAAATGCTAGAAAAATAATGCTTCCCCTTCAGTTTGCTTGAATGTAGAAGAGTAGACTTTGAAGTCAAGCAGACCCAGTCTTCAAATCCTGGCTCTGCCATTTAAGAGCTGGGTGACCTCCACCTCCAGCCTAATTTGCTCAATTGAACTGAAAGTATAATCATCTCAACCTCACAAAGTCCTTATTAATGTACGGGCACCTGGCCGGCTCAGTCAGTGTGACTCTTGATCTCAGGGTTATGAGTTCAAGCCCCACATTGGGTATAGAGATTACTTAAAAATAAAATATTTTTTAAAAATTAAAAAAATAAAGGATATAATGTATTTAAAGTGCCGGGTGCAAGGATTGACACGTATGTAGTGGGTACTCAACTAATGTGACATCTTTTCCCCTACGTGGACTGTAGAAATATAAGCTAAAATGCTGCTAGAGAGTTCACTTAGCATTTAAAAAAATTCATAAGGGGCTCCTGGGTGGCTCAGTCAGTTGAGTGTCCAACTTCAGCTCAGGTCATGATCTCACAGTTTGTGAGTTCGAGCCCCTCGTCGGGCTCTGTGCTGACAGCTCAGAGCCTGGAGCTTGCTTCGGATTCTGTCTCCCTCTCTCTCTGCCCCTCCCCCACTTGTGCTCTGTCTCTCTGTGTCTATCAAAAATAAATAAAATGTAAAAAAAAATTTTTTTTTAAATTCATACCATCTCACTCATCTGCAAGGTATTTCTCTTGCAAGCTCGCTATCAAAGAGAGTTAAGAACTTGAAAGTAAGCAGAAGCCAGTGTAGATGTTCAGAAACTGTTGTTTCAGTCATAGGAGAGCCTCTGCAACCTCTCTCAGAACAATGTGTGCTCGTTCATTCTTTAAGCCTCATTCTGGCAAATTGAGCTATCAGATATCCCAAGAGTATAACTGAGTTTAGGAACGCAGTGGTGTGTCCCAATGGCTGATAATTACATTAAAAAGTGTGCAACATCATTAGTCATCACGGAAATTAAAGGCATGATGAGAGAGCTAATGCACAGTCACCAGCATGGTTAAAATGAAAGAGATTCACCATACCAAGTGTTAGCAAGGATGCAAGGAAGTGGAACACTCCTGTTTCATGAGTGTGAATGGGAAAATGGTGCAACCACTTTAGAAAATGATTTGGCAGTATCCTCTAAAATTAAATATTATATATACTCCCGGACCCATCAACTCCACTCCTGGACAGTCTGCCAACTGAAGTGAATATTTAAAGCCAGAAAACACATACAGGGATGTTCATAAAAGCGGCATTTTTCATAATAGCCCAAAACTGGACACAACCCAAGTGTTCATCAGTAAAGCAAATGGATATAAAAATTATAATCATATTCATATGAAAGAATACTACGCATCAGTGAAAAAGCAAACCACTATTACCCTCAACAATCTGGCTGAATCTTCCAGAAAAAGAAGCCAGGCACAAAGAAGTTCATACTGTGTTTTCCATTTATACAAAGTTTGAGAATAAGCAAAACTATTTTATGGTTTTAGGAGTCAAAATAGAGTTTGCCTTGGGATTTGGGGCTACTGACTGGTTGCGGGCATGAAAGAGCCTGCAGAGGTGCTCGGGCATGTTCTTAACTTGATCTGGGTAGTGGTTATGTGGGACATACATATGTCGAAGTTTGGTTAGGACCAGGGGTGCCTGGGTGGCTCAGTTGGTTAAGCGTCTGACTTCGGCTCAGGTCATGATTTCAATACTTGTGAGTTCAAGCTCTGTGTCGGGCTCTGTGCTGACAACTCAGAGCCTGGAGCCTGCTTCAGATTCTGTGTCTCCGCTCTCTATGCCCCGCCCCTCCCCTGCTTGTGGTCTCTCTCAAAAATAAATAAACATTAAAAAAAATTTAAAGAATTTCACTTAGGACCAGTGTATCCTACTGCATGTAAGTTTCACCTCAACAACAAATAAAATAAAATAAAATAAAATAAAATAAAATAAAATAAAATAAAATAAAATAAAATTATTAAATTAAATTAAATTAAATTAAATTAAAATAAAATAGGAAAATAGGTCTCTGAGGACCTTTTAATTCAGATCCAGGGCCAGAAGTCTTAGGTGCCTCAGCAGGCCCTAAGGGCCCCATACACTTGCAAGAGAATATTAACAATATCACATAATTAATCAAGAAACTTGCATTAACTGAATGCTAGACATTATGTTCATTTATCATCTCATTCAATCCACCCAGCCACTCTGGGAAGTAGATGCGATCATTATTTCCCTTTTACTGATGAGGAAACCAAGGCTTAGAGACACTAAGCTACCGAAGATCACAGAGCTGAGTAACTGGCCATGCCAAGATTCTAAGCCTAGTCTATCTGAGTTCAAAACCCATGGTCTAAACCATCAAGTCATAGCACTAAAAAGTAAGAAATGAGGTCCCTGATCCCGACCCAGAATCATCCGATGGAGCTTATAGTCATGCCCCATACTTTCCAATTAGGAAGGCAAGGCATGTATAATATATATTACCAAGACTTTATTTCTCTTGTGTCTTACTGGAGTGAATTTTATTTTGGTGACATGGGGCTCAATCTCGTGAACCATGTGACCATGACCTGAGCGAAATCAAGAGTTGGACACTTAACTAACTGAGCCACCCAGGCACTCCTGGACTGAATTTTATTTTTTTTTTTAATTTTTTTTTTCAACGTTTATTTATTTTTGGGACAGAGAGAGACAGAGCATGAACGGGGGAGGGGCAGAGAGAGAGGGAGACACAGAATTGGAAACAGGCTCCAGGCTCCGAGCCATCAGCCCAGAGCCCGACGCGGGGCTGGAACTCACGGACCGCGAGATCGTGACCTGGCTGAAGTCAGACGCTTAACCGACTGCGCCACCCAGGCGCCCCTGGACTGAATTTTAAAATGAGATTATTTTTGGGGGCTCCTGGGTGGCTCAGTCAGTTAAGTGTCCGACTTCAGCTTGGGTCATGATCTCATGGCTCATGGGTTCGAGCCCTGCGTCGGGCTCTGTGCTGACAGCTCAGAGCCTGGAGCTTGCTTCGGATTC